GATGTTAAAACATCCCTGGCATAAGCAACTGTGTGGGGTGTTTATCAGGTGCGCATTGCTGAATGATACACCAATAGTTGACGTAGATTCAGCTGTTTTTTGCCTTCAAGTTCAGTGTAGATACTGCTGAATGGACAGTAACCAATTTACCGGTATTAAATATTGTGGTGTTAGGATCCAATATTGGTAGTGATACACTGATACCATAAGAGAAGTGTACATGAAACCAGATCCTAAGCAAGATTGTTTTGAATAACATGTACCTCAATTAGGATGTTGTGTTACTGACCTCAAATGGTTCTTAAAGGGACTTTGGTTACATACTTTAACACACTGCCAGCTAGCTATAGTTTTTGTTACCAGTTAGTTAACTGTTAATAAGGTTGGGCAATTTTCCTTTTTCAGTGTTTTCTAATGAGTTGGTTATGGGAGTTACCTGTAAGTGGTACATATAATTTTCCTACCAACATGATTTCCCCTTGCTTTTAGGTTGTTTACTGTAAATAATTTATTAATTTGTACGTGTGTTTTTACAGTTTAGCAATGGTATGCATATTGTAAATGGTGTACCGTTTCTTAGAGGCCAGGCCCTCAATACTATAATTTAGAAATGGTTTCCACTGCCTGGTGGTCAAAATAGTTCATGTGGTCTTTTTATATATATTACCCCTGTTTCAAGAAGATGTTTAGATTTAGATCATCTTGAAATGTAGCCAAGAATTTCATCTAGATTTTTGGAGTGTTCTTCAGTATTTTGAAAGATTCCAGACTGTGAAATAGTTTTTCGACCAGCCCTTGAGTTTTGTGGACATTCCTGAAAAGATGCCATCATATTAATTAACCAAGAAGTATGCAGTAATGATACATTTGTTTTTACACAGTAACCAAATTTCACCATATTTAATGAGAAAGATTTAAAACCACAGGTATATGCGTGAACTTACTTTGCTTAATAATATACAGTTTAAATAACAGTTAGACCTGGCCCGGCTAGTGGTTTTTATGTTTCTATTGTTCATTGCATACTCGTTTGTCCATGTATAGTAGGCAGAAGTGTAGTGGACCAGTCTGTTATTTATAACACACTTTAAAAAAATATTTTCAACATGGCGGTTTTTTCCACTGTGTACTGATATTTTCTGGTGTTTGTGGTCTGTGGGATGCACGCTTAAATAGCTTACGTTGATTAACAGTAAAAATTTTTTGTTTGTTTGGTGTTACATTTCCCCTGTTTTTAGTAACCCGCATGTATACATAGATTACCTTCGTTTATTTACAATACAATACGGATCAAGTCATTTGTAACACAAGCTGTGCTTTGGTACAGCATATGACAGAAAAATGACCTGGTTTTTCACTCTTTATCACCCCCCCCCTTTGTTAAAATACATTTTTGCTTTTTAGTCTTGTTTTTCAATTCTTTAGCATAACTATACATGTTTTAGGTGCTTTTGCAGTTTTTGCAAAGACATGTATTTTTACTTTTTTAACTTGTGCATTACTAGTGTTCCATAATAAACAGGGGTGCACTCTTCTTGGACATGATTTTGAGTTGTAGTCAAGGGAGGGGCACCAACCACCCTCAACAGCACCTTCTGTCCCAGCACTGGTACCCTAATCCTAGCCTGGTGAGCTGGGAGGCCCTGGGTGCTGGTGGTGCTGGTCTGGAGAGCTAGCCCACTCATCACTCACCCCACAGCAGCAGCTCCTGTCCCATGGGTCTAGGCTTAGCTCCCTGCACCCGGCGTTCTGCCAGGTGCATGGAGTCACAGCACCACTCAAGTTTGGCACCCTTGGTTTCATGATTTCTGAGTGGAAAGGGACCCATACTAAATCCACACTTGCATTTAACACAGAGAAAAATAGCAGAAATGCTGAAGGAAATCTGAGTCAGGCCCAGAGCCTCAATGGACATTATGAGCCTAAATACCCTTGAGGATCTATCTGGGCCTCAGACCCACATCCTTCCTAGCTTATGAAAGTGACTTGACAACAGCTAGGACTACTACTAACAGATATTGTCAATACCCCTTTTCAGACGGGACTGTGTATGAGGTATCCAACTGGTACCTAAGAAGCCATCTCTTGATTTAACAGACATTACCTGCTACTGCCTGGTATCCTTCTACTTTTGAATATAGTAATAGAAAAACCAGTAAAGAGCCATTTACAATGACACCTGTGTCCTAGATCCTTCCAGGCTGGGGTGTGCAGTGAAAATAATGCTGGCCATGCTGCTGAATGGACAGAAGGAGAATGTCCCTGGACTGTGGCCAGAATGTCCATATCCATATTACTATATCTCTCGGTGGTTTTGGATGCTAATGATCAGGGCCGGCTCCAGGCACCAGCTTAACAAGCAGGTGCTTGGGGTGGCCAAGGGAGAGGGGCGGCACCTGAGGCAATTCGGGGACGGCAGGTCCCTCACTCCCTCTAGGAGCGAAGGACCTGCCGCTGAACTGCTGCCGCCGATCACGGTCTTTTTTTTTTTTTTTCTAATTGCCGCCGCCAATCACGATCATTTTTTTTGTTTTTGTTTTGCTTGGGGCGGCAGAAATGCTGGAGCCGGCCCTGCTAATGATCATGATCAATTACTCTCCTGGCATGAAGCTATAGCAGGAGTTAACAGAAAAGTGCTGAGATGGGACCAACCCTTTCTTTCTGCAGTTCCTAGAGAATAGTGAATACCTTGTGGAGTTCCACCTAGTTCTGTTCTTTCCCTCATCCTATTTAACATCTCCATAAGGCCATGGGGGGGGGGGTCTGGGATCACAAGAAATCATGGACTCATTGGCAGGTGAGCGCTGTACTTAAGAATGCAAATACTGGAAGTACTGGAAGTGCCGGCAGAACTGTTCCGGCTCTCCATAAAAGTGCCAGAATGACGTGCTGGAGGGTTTGGGCAGGACTCAAGGGTTGAGTCTCAAGTGCTGGCAACATGCAGATTACTCGTCGTTTAACATATCATTTACAGCTGCCACTGCGAATGCTACTATCTCTCAGCAGGCCCAGTGCCTGGTTGACATTGGCACCTGGATGGTCGCCGCTTGGCTGAAACTAAACCTGGTGACTGAAGAGGGAAACATTCGGAAGATCTGGCCACCCCTATAACTTTGCCCTGTATTGAGTCTGCTTTCAGATGGTCAGATCAATGTGCAGCCTGGGGCTTCTGGACCTTGCGCTGCTGATGTTGGATACTCAGATGACTACAGTGGCTAAAAATGTCTCCTCCACTGCGCAGTTCCTTGTTCCGCTCCTCGCAGACACTGACTAGGCCACGGTGTTCTACGCTTTCATGCCCTCCTCGTTGGATTACGGCAGCTCGCCCCACCTAGCAATGAGCACACCAACATTAAAAACGCTTTCATTAGTCCAGCATGCAGCAGCCCATCTCCTCAACCAGATGGGCGGCTGCAAGTACATCACCTTGGTGCACTGCTTACAGCAGTAGCCCCCTATACCCCAGAGTGGCCTAGATTCAGGCTGTGCACTAATCTTTAAAGCCCTCTAGGTAACTGGCCCAACCTCCCTCTCTGCAGCGATGAGCTCCCTAGGCAGGCAAGTTTCTCAGGAACTATGAAATCGTCTGCTCCAAGGGCAAAGCCCACCAGGGCAGCAGACAGAGCTTTCTCTGCAGCTGGCCTATGAGGATGGAAACAGACACCATACAACTTTTCCCTGGCCACAACATAAAGAACTACAAATGTGGAGAAAGAGGAGAAAACTTTCTGGCTGCCTCCGGGAAAGGTAGGGAGGAAAAGAGACCACATGGGGCCTTTATACAGTGGTGATGACACTTCTATTAGGCACTGGCATGCAGAGATGAGTGTGGTAAAAAATGAAGAGAGAGAGAGAGAGAGAGAGAGAGAGGAGGAGAGACGAACGAAACGAAG